AGGAGATGCCGGTTTCCGGTCGCTTTGGTCTGGAAGATGTTGCTCCTCTCGCCAATCCTGGTGCGGTTTTGACTCCGCGGATGCCTACCTCTGTAGGATTTTGCTTTGTGAACTGTCCCATATGTTAACCAACAATCTGAGTATCCCGTCCGCCAGACTGAGCAATCACTAAGTTTGGTGAGAGGTACTTGGTACCTACCTAGCACAGGAGCAAACTTGGTGTGGAAATCAAAACTCTCTCCCCTAATACCAGACGCACTCTGAACTGTGTAGGCATTTTCTCTTAGTGCCCTGGGAGCTGTGGGTAGAGGAGTCGAGCCCTGCTCCTCGTTTAGAAACGGCTCATGTAATGTTCTTTGCAGACGCTGGTTGACTGCCTATTTTGTATCAGGAACGCCGATGTGTTACCACATTAAAGTTTCACAGCCAACTACTTGTGACAACTTTTTTAAAAAGTATTTTGAAAGTATTACATAGGTCCTCCTTTCCCTCCTTAACCTCTTCCAGCCCGCTCGCGTCCTTCCCCCGCCCCCGTCCCAGGCCCTCGCCACTCCATTATCTGTGTCCACGGGTTATGCATACAAGTTCATTGGTTGATCTCTTCCCACTCACCCTCTGCTGCCTTCCCTTTGAGGTTCAACAGTCTGTTCATGCTTCTGTGTCTCTGGGACATAGTTTTTTCCCCCCATCAGTTTACTTGGTTCATTAGATTCCACATATGAGTATCATGTGATACTTATCTTTCTCTGACTTATGTCACTTTCTTGAGTGCTTTTCTCTAGTTGATGATTATTAATAACTTTAAAGCCCTGGTAGGTGTTAACTCCCTCCAGGAAGCCTTACCAAAGCCCTCCTGTCTTTCACTCTCCACCCCTTTTAGGGGCTTCTTACCTCATGTTTGCTCATTTCCCCACAAGATCAAGTTCCTTATTCCTCTATATCCAAAGGCTTCGTGTATAGTTGAGACCCATTATAAACATTGGTTAATCGATCATGATTTTCCCCCTCCAAATGTAATTCTGGGTTTTTGTGTGTGAAATCTAAGAGTTGGCACACCTTTCTTTCTCTTCCAGCATTCTCTGCCCGCACTAGTAGCCTAAGCCAGCTGACATCCTCTCTCCCCCAGCCTCCCTGTGATCTCCATGTTTCAGCTTGCTCAGTCCTTGGTCCATTGCTCACATTTCACTCAGCGTGATAATATTTTTCTCAAGTGCAGATCTCATCAGAGTACTCCCCCGCTAAGAAAATAATGCTTCAGTGACCTCTTCTTGCTTATGAGACCAAACCTGGTCCTGCCTGCCTCACCTGCCTGGCTCAAACTGCCCTCTTTTTCAGGATGCTGGCCATCTTTCAATTAGAGCCGTACTACTATTCCAGCTGCCCGGCATCCTTCCTCAGGCTTACATCCCCTTTGCCTAGTTAACTCCTAGCTCAGCTCAAAAGTTGGTTCCTCAAGGACACCTTTCAAGACCCCAATCTAGATCAGATCCCCTTCATAAAACTTTCCACAATTGTATTGGATTAAACCATAAGACATTTCATATATTTGATTTTTAACCTACAAAAGTGGCAATTTGATATGGTTAACCTAATGATTAAGTGACTGACAATGAAATGAGTTGTTTGATGTCTGTTTCTAACTGGAGTGCAGGCTCTGTGAGGGTAGGGACTATGCATATTGTTCCTTGTGTGCCTAGGGCCTAGCACAAGGTCTTGTATATTAAATATTTGTTCAATAAATGAGGAAATGGAGTGTCTTGTCCAGGAATCAACTTCCAATATTCTAAGTCTTTAATTCTTTCTTTCTGTTATATCACAGTCTCTTTTTTATGTTCCTGTGATGTTATTTGCTGAATAACATCCTCAATAGCAAAAGTAACAACAGTTTTTGCTTTTTTTATGTTATCAGATGTGGACTTGAAACTTTCAGAAGTAATTTCAGCACACACACACACACCCGCCCCTCCCCCGCTTGTCCACAATTTTCTGCCATTTTCAAGAATGTCACTTGCCTTTCCCTAGGTATGTGCCTGGGAAAAGATTAAGCTTCTCATATGTTTAAGGCTTATCTCAAAAGTTACTTCCTCTGGAAAATAAAACCTTAAAGCAGTTCTTCCATGGCTTGGCCTTCACCTCTTCCAGAAACCAGTGTAAGGCTTTATTCTGTTAGCTGGAAGCAGCCTGGCCTGTGATTATTTTTAAATGGAGTTTGTGTTTCAACCCAGAGTCATAGAAGTTCTCCCATTCATGGGATATCCTAGTCTTACTCTGTCTTCCAGCCTTCGCATCCTTGCCACCTTCAATCTCTTCCTTATCTTTTTCACTCCTATGGGCTCCCCAGGTAGGAACTATATTTTATACATCCTTTATATCCTAGAGGGCCTTGTAAGTATCTGTGAAATTGAATTATTTTTTGAAAAGAAAAAGATGCTAGATAGATACCTGAGTTTGGAAATGTGCTGGTACTCTATGTTGGCTAGTATGTTAGGGGGGAAAAGGCTGTATTCTGTACATGAGGAAAAATGACAAGTAGAGAGTTCAGAGCCAAAGGAATTTGACAGAAGTTTTTCTGAAAGGGATGATTTTGCACTGAAAGTTAAGGTAATTTGACGGAAAGGAAGTTAGAAAGCATTAAAGATTAAAGGAATGATTTGCTGAGAAGTAGGAAAGCCCAAGTTATGAACAGAAAATCTGTTTTATTGTTTTATCAGTCCTAAGAAGTATTTTTCTTTTAGGGAGAAAAAATGGGTTACTGTGGGTGACACATCGCTTAGGATATTTAAGTGGGTTCCTGTGACCGACAACAAGGAGGTAAGTGTGGAAGAAAATCCCAACAAAAAAAGGTACTGTTTTCTTTCTTTGATTACCTCTTAATGATAAAGGAGTTTATTTCCCCAGAATTGAGTTGGAAATATGTAGAGACATCCTCTGTCATTGGCCCACACAGAGCCTCCCTTTATATTTTCCATTTATTCCCTTTCCTTAACCCATTCCCCTTTTCCAGGGCTTGGTGAACTGTAGCCCATCCTGCTGTGAGCGTCAGTGTAGCCTTATTGGAATTCAGCTATGCCCACTGGTTTCCTTCTGCTTTTGTGTTATAATGGTAGAGTTGAATAGTTGCCATAAGACCTAATGGTCTGCAAAGCCTAAAATATTTATTATCTGGCCCTTTAAGAAAAAGTTTGCTGACTCCTGTTTTTATCCAGTTAGCTATTCACTGCAGTGTATTTTTATATGTTTTATATGTATATTTGCCTTTCTAATTCCTCTTCCATGGGTTTATTTGGACATCTGTGTATTCTTGAAAAACACATAGCATTGTTTCATGTTGGTGTTTTTAAATGTTTACATCTAAATGTAGCATTGTGCTATAAACCTCCATTCTCCTTTGTTCAGCCTTGTTTTTGAGAACTCTCCATGTTTCTATAATTGTAAATACAGTTACTACCTTTGACCCTTGTACTGTATTCTTTTATATAGTTCACATTCATGTACACATTTCCTGGGTAATAAAACACCCAGATTATCTCCAACTCTTTTCCCCTAATTGTTTTTGAAAAATCTCAAATATAAAACAGACATAAAAGTAAGTGAAACAGCCCTAACAGGTTTGGCTCAGTGGATAGAGTGTCAGCCTGCGGACTCAAGGGTCCCAGGTTGATTCCGGTCAAGGGCATGTACCTTGGTTGCGGGCACATCCCCAGTAGGGAGTGTGCAGGAGGCAGCTTATCGATGTTTCTCTCTCATCGATGTTTCTAACTCTCTATCCTTCTCCCTTCCTCTCTGTAAAAAATTGATAAAATATATTAAAAAAAAAGTAAGCGAAACATAAATGCACAGTATTCTATATATACTAGAGCAGTCATGGTGAACCTTTTGAGCTTGGCATGTCAGCATTTTGAAAAACCCTAACTTAACTCTGGTGCTATGTCACATATAGAAATTTTTTGATATTTGCAACCTTAGTAAAACAAAGACTTATATTTTTGATATTTATTTTATATATTTAAATGCCATTTAATAAAGAAAAATCAACCAAAAAAATGAGTTCACGTGTCACCTCTGACACGCGTGTCAGGTTTGCCATCACTGTACTAGAGGCTTGGTGCATGGATTTGTGCACTGTGTGTGTGTGTGTGGGGGGCGGGGGGACGTGGACTGCAGGTTTTAGCCTGCTGTGGGAGGGCCGCTCATCCTGGTCAGCTGAGTGGCGCTCCCTCTGTGGGAGTGCCGTGACCACCAGGGGGCAGCTCTTGCATTGAGCATCTGCCCCCTGGTGGTCAGTGCGTGTCATAGTGACTGGTCAACTGGTCATTCCACCATTTGGTTGCTGGGCTTTTATATATATAGATAAAAGCTAAGTGACCAGAACGACTGGAACGACTGGTTGCTATGACATACACTGTGGCTGGCCAACCAGCCTGATTGAGGGCGGGTTGGCTGGCCAACCTCCTGCAGCCCCTCCCCCTGGCCAGACCTCACCCGTGCACAAATTCGTGCACCAGGTCTCTAGTAATGAATAAATACAGTAGGTCCTCTTGTTATGTCAGACATCTGTTCCTATGGCACGACGTAATGTGATTTTCACTGTAAGTCGGAACAAAAGCGCCTATGTCACTCACATGGAGCACATACATAGCAGTAATGAAGTGAAACAGTAAAAAAAATTTAAAAGAAAGGTAACAATTCTTGACCTTTACTTGTGATAAATAAATAATAAAAAACGTAAAGCACGTATGTACATATGTAGAAATGACAGAACTTTTTTTTTTTTATAAATAAATGGGAGATGGCAACATAACCACGAAACGACATATGTTGAGTTCAACATAACCCGAGGACTGTCTGTATAAAGCTGATACTCTTGTCAAAACAACCCAAGTCAGCCCTAGCCTTCTATTGACTACCTCTGCTTTCCATTGGCTACCTCTTTTGGCTACTTCTGTTTCTATTGGCTCAGTGGATAGAGCATTGGCCTGCAGACTAAAAGGTCCCGGGTTCAGTTCCGGTCAAGGGCATGTACCTTGGTTGCGGGCACATCCCCAGTAGGGGGTGTGTAGGAGGCAGCTGATCCATGTTTCTCTCTCATCTATGTTTCTAACTCTCTATCTCTCTCCCTTCCTCTCTGTAAAAAATCAATAAAATATATTAAAAAAAAAAACAAAAAAACCCCAGTATTGTTAGATTTATATGTAAAGTTATCTCATCTTGGTTTTAATTTGATGACAAATTGTGTCATTACTAATGACATTGAGCACCTTTCCTATGTTTATTAGCCTTTTGGGTTTCCTCTTTTAGGAAGTGCATATTTAAGTGTATTTGCCTCTGGTCTTTTTCTTATGACTTTTAATTGTCTGTGTTCTGGTCACAAATTCTTTAAATTATATACTACCCATACCATTTCCCATTCCATGGCTTGTCTTTGCACTGTCTTTATGCTGCCTAAGTAAAAAAAACTTTTTAATTTTAACATAGACAACACAAGATTTTTCTTGAATGTCTTAAGAAATCTCTTTTCAAAGAGAAACTTCAGAACTAGTGTGGTGGTTCTGATCCAAGAGTCCCTAAGGACCTAGCTTCTTCTAATCTTTTTGTTTCTTTAAAAAGTCATTTTAGCCCTAACTGGTTTGTCTCAGTGGATAGAGTGTCAGCCTACGAACTGAAAGGTCCCAGGTTCGATTCCGGTCAAGGGCACATGCCCGGGTTGTGGGCTTGATCCCCCAGTGGGGGACTTGCAGGAGGCAGCCGATTAATGATTCTCTCTCATTGTTAATGTTTTTCTCTCTCTCCCTCTTCCTTCCTCTCTGAAATCAATAAAAATATATTTAAAAAAAATCATTTTAGCCCTAGCTGGTTTGGCTCAGTGGATGGAGCATCAGCCTACAGACTGAAGGGTCCCAGTTTCGATTCCGGTCAAGGGCATATGCCCGGGTTGTGCACTTGGTCCCCAGTAGTGGGGCGTGCAGCCAATCGATGATTCTCTCTCATCATTGATGTTTCTATCTCTCTCTCCCTCTCCCTTCTTCTCTGAAATCAATAAAAATATATTTTAAAAAAATTATTTTAGAGTCCTGGCTGGGTGGCTTAGTTGTTTGGAGTGTTGGTTCAGTGCACCAAAAGGTTGTGGGTTTGATTCCCAGTCAGGACACATACCTAGGTTTCAGGTTTGATCTCCAACCTGGGCGTGTATGAATGATATTTCTCTCTCACTCTCTTTCTGCCTCTCTCCATCTCTCCCTTCTTCTCTCTCTAAGAAAAGCAAGGGAAACATATTCTTTGGTGAGGATTAATAATAATAATAATTTTAGAGAGTAGTGACACTATTCATTTTACTCTTTTTAATTAATTGTAGTAAAATACACACACCATAAAATTTACCATCTTATCATTTTTTTGTGTTTAGTTCAGTACAGTAGTGTTACATATATTTACCTTGTTTTACAACCAATCTCCAGAACTTTTCATCTTGTAAAACTAAAACTTCATACCCATTAAACAGTTCCCCATTTCTCTGGTCCATTTTTGACCTTGTATTCCAAGGTTAAGCTTTAGCCATTCACTCAGCACACTCAGGTACCAGGTAGCAGGAGGAGTAGAAAGATGGCAAATGGTATTTTCAGGAGTTTAAGTAGTTTCCTTGAAGTTGCCTCAGGATATACTATAAGTGTTCATAATAGCTTGTGGTAGATCTAGTGCCTGGGAAGACTGAGAAAATATGACCACCTAAAAATTCTATTAATATGCCCTGGCTGGTGTTGCTCAGTGGTTGGAGCATGGTCGTCGTCCACCCTCACCCCCCACCCTCAGGTATGGTCAAGGGCACATACATGGTCAAGGGCACATACCTGAGTTGCATGTTTGGTTGTCAGCCCCAGTCAGGGTGTGTGCAGGAGGCAACTAGTCTATGTCCATCTCTCTCTGTCTCTCCCTCTCCCCGTCTCCCCCTTCCTTCCTCCCTCCCACTTTTCTCTCTAAAAAAAAAGCAATGGAAAAAAATATCCTGAGGTGGGATTAACAACAACAAAGAAGTTCTATTAATATGGACGAGGATTTCTGCCATAATACACTTGCTTTTTCCCCCCTCTCTTTACCTTCTGGTGACTAAATTTTCTTCTGGTGATTTTAAGTTCTTTTTTCTATTGGCTACCTCTAACTTAAGACTTATTATGTTTCCCTGTAAAGTGTATCAGAATCTGTATTTTCCCTCTGAACCTGGTAATACCCACAACATTTTCCCCACCTATGGTCTCTGCTTCTCCCTCACTTCTATCCTTACCTTGTCCTTAGCTGTTGTTTTTAATATATAAATACTAGAGGCCCGGTGCACAAAAAATTGTGCACTCGGGGGGGTGCCTCAGCCTGGCCTGTGCCCTCTCGCAGTCTGGGACCCCTCGGGGGATGACCACCTGCTGGCTTAGGCCCACTCCCCGGAGGGCAGTCAGGCATCCCTCTGGCAGCCCAGGAGCCTTCAGGGGATGTCCACTTGCCAGCGGGGAGCAGGCCTAAGCAGCAGTCGGACATCTTTAGCGCTGCTGAGGAGGCGGGAGAGGCTCCCACCACCACCACTGTACTGGCAGCCGTCAGCCTGGCTGTGGCTGAGCAGAGCTCCCCCTGTGGGAGTGCACTGACCACCAAGGGGCAGCTCCTGCATTGAGCGTCTGTACCAAGTGGTCAGTGTATGTCACAGTGACCAGTCATTCTGCTTTTAGGGTCAATTTGCATATTACCCTTTTAATATATAGTATCTTTTCTAAGGAAATATTTTTTAATTCTTTTTTTCTAAATATGTTTTTATTGATTTTAGAGAGAAA